TGGTGAGTAGGGCAACAGGGGAGTGAAAAATAACTTCTCATTCTAAGGACATTGTTCTGGAGCTTCACTTCTGGGCTCCAGTTCCTTAGCACGAATCCACTGGCACTGCCTTGGCTCTTCCAAGGTTTTTGACCCTTGAGGATTACTGTAGTGGGGTACACTGCAAGCCAGTGGGTATCACATGGTAGGTGCTAGATGTAAATTACATGCAAAGCCCCCATTTGTGTGACCCAGCTGCAGTGAATTATGATGCAAACTGGAAAGGAGGCAGTAATGGTGGTTATGAAATTATCCAGGTATCACTTTTAGTGAAATGGTTTTGACTATGTCTCAAAAGGGAAAACATCCATAAATACCAGAATCCACTCCGATTATAACGTTAGTTTGTTTCTGAAAGTAGGAGGACATTTTAAATGTCAGTTAAAGGAACAATAACATTGGGTTTGTGTTCATTTGTGGAGGGTAAATGGGGCCTGGATGGTTTTCATCAAAAAAGCATCCTCTCCCCACACTTCGCTGTTTCTTATCAAACATACCCTGGGAGACTCCATGGTAATTGGAAAACTAATAAAATTAAAGAGTGAAAATTAAGCAAATGAGAGGAGAAAGGGTCTTTAGTCAGACTGCTTAGAAGTGGGTGTTTTCCCTTTGTTAGCGTTTATAAATCAAATGCCGAATGAACACTTGATTTTGTTAACAACTCAACACTCCAGCTGGTGTAAGAGCTCACAATACACGAGGAGCTGCAAGAGGTCCACCAGAAGCCGGGGAGATCAGCCTTTACATTCAGATTTTTCTAATGTTTCTAATGTAAAAAAAGGCAGAACATTTTAAGAAAGTTCAGACCTCTTCTATACATTTAGAGGACATAAATCTGATCAAGCATCTCTTCCAGTGAGCCAAATGCTTAGCAGCCCCCCAGGGCGGCTGCCTACCCTTTCTCCCCTGTTTGGAAGGTAGAACTGGGACAGACCGTGGCAGAGAGGGCTGAAGCACTGTCTTAGGGCTGTCGGGGGAGGTTACGGTCATCCAGATCTAGCAGGAGAGGAACAGAGCTCAAGCTCCGACAGGGCTTCTTACAAATTCCTCAAAGCAGCTGCCTTCCCAGCTCCAGAGATGATCTCCTGCTGGGCAGCGCTTCTGAGCCCCACAGAGCAGTGCCCTGCTCCAAAGTAACTTAAGAGCCGCAAGGGCACCCTCCCTCCACCCCCGATGTCAGTACTTCAGTCACGGCTGCCCTGTCTCTTTCTGAGAGAAGATCTGGAGGGCCAGCTCATTCCTCACTGCTTGCTGTTCTGAGTTGTGAACCATCTCCCCCGCCTCCCGCTCTGTCCTTTGGTAAGGCAGCGGAACAGGAAACCCACTGAACTTCCCCATTGTTTGGTGAAACAGACCCAGAGGAAAGTCAAAATGGGAAAGTGGACAAGTTGAGCTGCCCACAAAAGTAGCCATTTTGGTGGAGTTTGGCATCGGAACCTGTATGTGTGCGCAGCTTGGCAAAAAATAAGATAGTAGCAGGGGAGGGCCGCCCAGTGCCACTAATAGGAGTAGATGTTTTGGTGGCTGCACACTTGCATTATACACAGGCCAGGACTTCGGATACTTCCCAGTAATTGGGAGGGGAGGAAGTTCTGGGTCTGAGGGTGAGATTAGTGACGCAGGTTTGTGGAATGATTCCATACTAAGTTCCATATTTGGAAGATTTGCCTTGAGGTAGATTTGCGGGGATTTAACAGCATCAGTTCCCTGAGAGTGACTGTCTGATATGTCAGAGTGAATCTCCTGAGGGGAAGCTAAAGGTTCCCCAAGAGTCAAAGCCAAATGTTGCTAGGTTATAACTCCAGCAAAGAAGGTTCAAAACCAAAACGACCTCTCCAGTTTTGTTGGAAAAAATTCAGACCCTGCAATTTTAAGTGGAGAGGTGAAAGGGATGGTGCTTTGCGGCTCAGAGGACCAGCGTGCCCAAGTATCACCCAATAGAGAGCAAATGGAGCAGTGTAGCTCTTTGAACTGGTGGTAAGTATATACTGCATCAGAGCAGAAAGGATATGCTGACTTGGCTAAAAGACAGGTTCGCCTCGAAACATTAATAGCCATGCACACAACATGCTGCTTTCTCTGGTGACTGTCTTCCGTTGACAAAGATGTTAATAAGCTTAACACCTAATTCCCACACAAACTATAAGGCAGGAGTTACGGCTGCAGGCACATATTAGTGATTTGAATTAGGGCTGTCAAGCGATTAAAAAAATTAATCATGATTAAAATAATTGTTATTAATTGAGCTGTTAAACAATAATACCATTTATATAAATATTTTTGGATGTTTTCCACATCTTCAAATATATTGATTTCAATTACAACACAGAATACAAAGTGTACAGTGCTCACTTTATATTGATTATAAATATCTGTACTGTAAAAATAAAAAATAGTCTTTTTAAATTTATCTAATACAAGTACTGTAGAGCAATCTCTATCATGAAAGTTGAACGTACAAATGTAGAGTTATGTACAAAAAAACCCTGCATTCAAAAATAAAACAACGTAAAACTTTAGAGTCTACAAGTCCACTCAGTCTTATTCTTGTGCTGCCAATCGCTCAAACAAAGAAATTTATTTACATGTGCAGGAGATAATGCCTGCTTCTTGTTTACAATGTCACCTGAAAGTGAGAACAGGCGTTCGCATGGCAGTGTTGTAGCCGGCGTTGCAAGATATTTATGTGTCAGATGCGCTAATGATTCATATGTCCCGTCATGCTTCAACCACCATTCCAGAGGACATGCGTCCATGCTGATGATGGGTTCTGCTCGATAACAATCCAAAGCAGTGTGGACCGACGCATGTTCATTTTCATCATCTGAGTCAGATGCCACCAGCAGAAGGTTGATTTTCTTTTTTGGTAGTTCGGGTT